CCTGGTGTTAATATCTGATGCCCAATCAGAGTCGGGATATGCTGAAATGGTAGAGTCAGCTGATTTTACATACCTTAAACCACAAGGAATGGTTCCCTGCAAATATCTCAAAATCCGTTTAACTAAATGCATATGTAACTCAAATGGCTTTGTCATGTATTGGCAAACAACATTGATAGCAAGAGCTATATCTGGTCTTGTAAATGTAAGGTATTGAAGTGCACCTATTAAGCTTTTGTACTGAGTTGGATGCTAAGAATCATGTGTTGGTCTGGCAAACAACATGTGTTGGATGCTTAGAATCCACAAAACCTTGTGGTTGTTTCATGTAGACTTCCTCCTTAAGTTCCCCATGCAGAAACGCATTCTTGATGTCTAATTGTCTCAAACTCCAATTGTTTTGAAATGCCAATGCAAGTATTAATCTTACTGTAGTGTGTCGAACTACTAGACTGAATGTCTCAGAGTAGTTTAGACCTTGTTCTTGACTGTAACCTTGTGCCACCAACCTTGCCTTATACCTTACAACTATCCCATCAGGATTTCTTTTGATTTTGTACACCCATTTACTCCCAATAACAGTTCTATTTGCTGGAGGGGGAACTAATCTCTAAGTTCTTTGAGTTGTCAATGCATCGAATTCCTCCTGCATGGCATTTTGCCATTGTACTATTGTGGATGCTGCTTTAAAATGTTTAGGTTCTTCAACCTCAGTTATATCATTAATGAATGAGAATCTTCCACACATGTAATCAAATTCTGATGATACACTAGGATCTTGGAATTGTAATGATTGTAACTATGGTAAAACAACAACAAAGGATGAATAGGTTTGTCTTTGAATATCTCATGTCTTTAGTCGAGTTTGGACGCCATGATCTAAACATTGAGCAATGTTGTGAGTGTCAAATGAAGAAGAAATAGCGAGTATTACCTGGAGTTGTGCAGGATCAAGGACAAGAAGCAAAAGAGGTGTATCAGATGAGGAGGAAAGAGTATTGCCTATTGTAGATGCTAAGCCATGCACTTGACTACTGATATCTTGATTTTCTGTGTTTTTAGAAGGATTGGGATTGTAACTTAGAGAAGAAACTGAATAGAGATGACCATTTTGATTTGTTGCATTTTCATGATGTAGAAGCAGTGTTGGAATTGGAACTGGAACAACAACTAATCTAACCAAATGAGATGATGTAAACAAATCCATAGGTTGCTAAAAGATGTTTTGTTGTGAGTCTTGAATATATGGAAATACCATTTCATCAAAAAGTACATGCCTTGAAACAATGCATTTCCTAGTTTTGGGATTGTAACAGATAACACCTTTATAACCCATTGAATATCCCAAGAAAATACATTTTTCAGATCTTGGTTGTAGTTTATTGCTGTTATATGGTCTTAACCATACACAACAGTATCAAATATCCTTATAGACTTCAAATCTAGTTGCTTGGTATACAATCTTTTGTAAGAGGATTCTAGTGCCAAAGAAATGCCATCCTATTGATCAAAAACACTAAATGTGCACATGCATAATACCAAAATTTAGCAAGTAAACCAGCAGCAATAAGCAAAGTGATAGCAATTTCAACAACATGCTTGTGTTTCCTTTCTACCACTCCATTTTGTTGTGGAGTATAAGGACAAGACATCATATGTTCAATCCCTTTTGAATCAAGAAAAGCTTTAAATGCAAGACTAGTGCATTCTCTTACTCTATCAGTTTGTAAATATTTAATTACAGTTCCAAATTGAGTGTGAACAAAATTATAGAACCTTACAAACACAATAATTGTATTGGATTTATTGCACAATGGAAAAACCCACACATACTTTGTATATTCATCCACAAACGTTACATAGTATCTATACTCTTCAATAGATTTTACAGGAGATGGTCCCCAAACATCTGAGTGAACCTTTTGAAATGGTAGAGAACATTTATCACTTATAACAGAAAAAGGAATCCTTGACATCTTGCCTTTTACACAATGAGTACACAGACTATAAGTACTATCTATATCTATACTTATATTGGACTATTTTAACATAGCTGACAATATTTCATGTGTTGGATGATCCAAATTCTGGTGCCAAAGTTTTAACTATACCAACTGTCCCAAAAAAGATGAATTTTTCACTGTGGATTGCACTCATCTTGATCCTTTCACAACTGGTATTTGAAACAGCTCCCTAGGCTTACTCTTTCCTTGATACAAAACCTCTTTTGTCTTCTTATCTTGAACAAAAAACTCACTTTCATCACAAATAAACTAACTATGGTTATCAGCACATATTGTTGTACAAAAGGAAGACTCCTTGCAATTTTAGGAACATGTAACACATTATTAAGGATCAATTAATGAGAATTGTGTTTGAGTATCGTTGAACCAATATTGTTAATGGTTAGATCTGTGCCATTGCCAATTGTGATTTTCTTCGAACTTTCAAATGGAGTGACTTGATTGAATGCATTCACATCAACAGTAATATGGTGATAAGCTCCAGCGCCAACAATCCAGGAATCTTGTTTAACATATTGAGGTTTTTGTTGTGTTGCCATAACATTCAATATTACAGGTGGAGGTGGACCTTGAAATGCATAATTTGCCCTGTGAAAACACTCTAATGCAAAATGTCCTCTTTTTCCACAAATATGACATTCTAGCAAGAAACCTGTAGATGATGTATTTAAATTTCGATGGAAGCAATTGTCAGCTATATGATAACTCTTATTGTATATTTGGCATTCAAGTACCACATTGAACCTATTTTCAATGCTACCATACCACATACTAAAGCCATTATGTCTTGAATTCCTATATTGAAAGCCTGAAGAGCCACCAGAGTTGAAATTCTTGCCTTTATAACCACCATTTGGCCTCTAATTGTTACTTTTGTAATTTGAACCATTGAAAGATTTTTTATCAAAGTTCTGTCTTGGACCACCAAAGTTCAATCCATTGCCCATGAAACCAAAACTATAAGACTGTGAATCAAAGAGTTGAGACTGCTGTGGATATATTTGTTGTGGAAACTACTGCTGTGGATACTGTGGCAGTGGAAATTGCTGTTGTGGGAATTGTTGTTGTGTATTATACCACCTGTTGTAGTAGAGATGTGACAGTGACCCAATGGATTAGATCCATATGCATTAGATGAATGTGTTATAGATGATCCTTGAGTATATAGTGTAACCATGCTTTGGGATAACACATTCATTTATCCTTCCATTTCTTTTTCAGCACCTAACAATTGAGCATGAAATTCTTTCAATGTAATAGCTAATTCTCTGGCAAGAATAACTATTCGAATTATAGCATACTCCTTTGGTAATCCAGTAAGACCAACAATCATTACATCATTGTCAGAAATAAACTCCCCTGCAATAGTTAACTGTTCTCTTATGTTCTTGAGCCTCAACAGATACCTATCACTGGAATTTGATCCTTTTTGTATTGTATGCAGCTCAATTTTTAAATCGTTAACCTGGACTTAGACATGTAGGCAAAACATTCCACAAGATTTGACTAAGCTTCAAATGCAGTTTTACAACCAAGAACATATTCAATAGCTTCATCAAACAGAGTTGCCAATAACAAACTGAGCAATGCCATATCAGTTGATTCACATTCAATATATGTTGTAATCTCAGTTGTGATCCCAATGTTAGTGTGTATCACAAATTTTGGTGGACATACATCAATACCATCAAAATAAACAAACATTTTATAGCCTTTAAGAACTGACTTAAACTGAAATGCCCATTTAGCAAAATTGTCATCCCTCAATTTTATTGTAAGCATGCCGAAAAGACTCTCAACCTTAACAGTAGTTGTAGACATGATGAAATACTCAAGAAACACAAATTGCAATACTTCGGAGAAGAATTTCACCCTTTGAAGTGAGAATGATACTCACTGCTATCTAGTTATCCAAGAAAGATTGGCACTTTCTAACAAACTTATCCTTATAACCACCTTAACTGCCTACACATTACAACTAACCACACTTCTCAACTAATCACATTCTTCACTCTTAAGTAACCATGTCATCACTAATGACTATGGTTAATAGTAATTACTTCCATGTAATTATTCTATTCATTATATTCTCTTGGTACATATTCTATGAATGAGACTCCAAAAGTCCACTCAATGCAATTATATATTGGAATGAATATAACGACTGGAACACGATTCTTACCATACACTATGATATTATTTTCATCACTCACAATTCTATAAAAATTTAATATTACCAAACACTTAACTGTTTTTACTTTAGAATTGAAACTCTAAAAACACCATGTTAGACTCTATTGTTGCTTGTTTATCTTCGGCGCGCCCTTTTGCAAAAAAAAAAAAAAAAAATTTTAACATTTTAATCCCTAATTTTTAAACAAGTTTTTATTCATCAATTTGAATGGTTTCCGTTGAGTCTTGTATCGCTTATAAAACCAATTCCTATAATTATGAGATTTATTTGGACTTTCTTAATAAATAGTATATAAATAAAAGTATATGTATATAGTATATAAAATAAAAAATTATCTATTATCTAATAACCCGTCCTCCTCTCTTTGAAACAAGCTCAAGCTTCCTTCTTGCATGCGTGCTCCTCCCAAAAGAGACTCGCGCCCCTTCTGAAGTTCACGAATCCGCTCAATTGAAAGGATAAATTCAATTGAAAAATATTTTTTTCGTACTAGTCTATACAATGAGCACTGTTAACTATCTGCACTACCTTTTGAACCTTGTTATTTTATATTTGTAAATACAACAAATGTCATTCATAATATTTAAATTCAGAAATTTGTTTGACAAAGTAAAAGCTAGATGTCACTCCATGCTAATTAATTACTACAATTTTCAGCAGTTATATTATGTAACATTCAATATTGTAATTCATATCTTAGTTTCAACAAACAAACAAAAAAGTATATATCGTAATGTATGATCTGAATAACTCCAAACAAAACAAAGAACTGCAAGAGGAGATGAGTTCCCAGAATTACACATATAGATTGGTCATAATTCAGTTCACGCAGACATATATAGGTGAAAATAAATGCCCTACACACATAAAACATCATTCTTCTTATGACTTAATTAAAATACAATATTACACTTCAAAACTTAGTATATATGTCTATATATATCTCACATAATTACACTAGCTAGGATTTCTTTTATAGTAGTGGGTACACAGAAGCTACTTCATTTATTTAATTAATATAATTAAGTCACTAATCCGACTGCAAACGCCGAAGGCTAAAACGCTAAGCCATCACGATCATCTCAGTTGGGAATGAGCTTGAAAGGAGGCTTAACAAGAGCAGGTGCTGGATCATATCGTCCATAGTCTTTGGTGTTAGATCTAAGAAGCCTTTCATGGATTCTAGCTACTTCTTCGTGGTTCAATGGCTTCCCTAGCATTTCCTACCACGTGAAAATCGGATAACGCGTGAGTCAGATGCAACACTTATAAATTTACACAAGTGATACTAATTAATTAGGAGGAGGAAGAAGAAGGAGGAGATCATAAACACCAGAATTTCTGAAGCCTTTCTAGTTACAAACCTCTGTGTTTGCATCCACTTCTTTGGCCAACTTGTTGACAAACTTCGATTTTCGACCTGCAAATGCAGTTCTCATATCATGCATATTATGATTAGTAAGGGTGAAATTCTTTCTTTTGCATAAATTATTATCTTGTTGCACAATATTCCTAGAAGAATCAAAGAAGAGTAGAAGTTTATGAAAACTATAATAGTTACTTTATTTATAAGGAAAACTAATGAAAAATGCTTGAAAACTTTGAGTTTTAACGTTAAGCACAAAATAAAGGGTAAAGTGAATAGTATCAAGATTGATTTTTTTAGTAAAAAAATGTAATTTTTCGTTAAAGTGAACAGTATCTGGAACTTTTTGTTAAAATTCCCTTATTTATATGCTTCTGCATGATCTGCTCTAACGTAATAAGTATCAAGCAAAGTGAAATTCTTTCTTTTGCATAAATTAATATCTTGTTGCACAATATTCCTAGAAGAATCAAAAGAGTGGAAGTTTATGAAAACTATAGTAGTTACTTTATTTATATGCTTTTGCATGATCTGCTCTGACGTAATAAGTATCAAGCAAAGATCAAATCCATGCACACTAGCTAAATTTTCATAAATAGCATGACTAAGGGGCTTCTGGAGCTGCTAATTATGCATGAGGGCATAACTACAAGAAATCAGGGTTTTACGAGGATCATTTTGGTTACTAAAAATACCAATTCTTGGGGTTAATTGTTTCGTCACTAGAGCTCTTTTTTCTTGTAGTGCATGCATGTATATATATGTATGCGTGTGTGTGTATGTGTATATACAGACACATCTCTGACAATGCAAGGATTTATATGACTAATTAAAAGCAAAGGCTGCAGACTTATAGAAAGACCAACCTGCTGCGAAAGAGGATGAGAAAAATGATGCTGAAATCAGAAGAAAGAGGATGCTGAACATCTTGAGGAACATGAAAGCCATGTTGTTAGGCAACTTTGTTGTTCGATCTTGTTTCTTTCTGAGAGTGTCTATTCTCATTCAAGTTCAGAGAATTTTAATGGACCAAATGATATATGCTTCCTATATACCTATAATGTAATGTAAAGGAACGTTAAATCTACTTGAGAAAGGACTTCTTAAAGAAACATAAAATTGGGAATTCTTAATGATAAACAGAAAATTGACAGTTAATTATAAATTAATCAAAGCTTTACACTTTTTAGTTTTGAATTGTAATGAAAAGGTGACATAGACCACTTTTCTTTTGTTGGGGCACTAAGTCTAACAAGTTAGTGGACTTATATAGTTAATTAACAGAATAGTACTTAATGTATGACCCTCAGTGGAAATTATCATAAAACCCCTAATTGTCTTGGCAAAACTTTGTTTCTAACTTTGCAATCAAAATAACACATTTCTGTTTATAAAAACTTTAACAGTACAACAAAGATTTTTGAAAAAAGAAAAAAAAAAGGAAAAACACCAAAGTTCCAATAGAGGAATAAAAATGAGCTTAAAATGGAAAAACTATAGAAACCAGATTGAAAAAAATCGATATAAATTTGGGGCACCCCATCATGAATGAGCATTTACATATTTGAGCTTGCTATACATGTTCAATTCAGTTACGAGTACACTCAAAAGGACTGAAATGGAAATTTGGAAGGCATGTAAGTTTGGTGAGTAGTTAAATGTTTCTCCTGTGGCTGTGCTTGAATTAAAAAGAAACATTAGGTATAAAAATTGCTTTTATGGACGACTAGTGCTTTCAATTATCTATAAAGACAAAGACAACACACCAAATACCACTGAAAGGACGCTGGTGGAGAATAAAGAGAAGCATGCACTGTAATACCTAAAATAATCCATCTTTCTTTAATTTATTTTTTTATAAAAAGTGGTGTGAGGGCAACCCCTAACTTAAGCAAACCATCCCTACCCTTGGCCTCCAATAATTGGCCAATCTATCCCTTCCCTAACATTCAGTCAATTATCGTCTAATTTGATCTTGGACCCAATTAGCACGTCATATGATCATTTGATCTTAGACCCAATTAGCACGTCATATGATTAGTGGGAATGTGGGAAGTTATGCACTAATTTCAAAAACTAGTGTGGGATATTTGTGATGTTTCCCATCAATCTCAACATATACCTCACTAGGATGAAGGCATAGTCAAGCCCATATATGCCTGCATGCATGTTTTACAACCATAGCTTAATTCAGTTCTTAAATTTCCCGGAAACGAAGTATATGCCATGTACATATGTCACCCACTTTAACATCTAGTTGCAACTTTAAATATGAGTTGGTTAGAACAGTGTGTATGTATTCTTCCATTCAAGCTCGCTTCTTACATCAAAATTTTAATCGTTCTTTCAATAAATTAGAATAGTTTAAAATATCACTTTGTAAAAAAAAGAAAAACTAATTAACTAATTGCAATTAATATTACATTATTGGTTTGTGTTGTAAATATGAAATGCATTCTTGATAATTTCTCCTCTGTCGCACACTTATAACCAACGATCTGCACATATAGGATAAGCTTGTTTAAGTTCCAAAGAATTGCCAAAAGAAAAAGGTTCCATATATAGAATTGCATGGCTTGAGTAGGCTATCTATTATGGCTACAACCTTTAGTCCTTAATTTTTCATTCTTTAAAATTTTTGGAATGATATATGCCTTTTAGCATGAAGACTATAACAGAGTGGAATGACATATGTGCAGAGAATATGAGTACCCATATATAATATCTCCTGAATCTCCTCTAGAGATTGCCACTAACTTTTATTTATTTCGTTTATGTTGACAATGGAGACATGAAATTGAAAGAGAATAAAAATTATATATTAAAATCAGTGGTGGAATCAGGATTTTGAAATAATTGGGTCATATGATTTCGACCATAAAAATTTTATTGGACCATTTCATTGAGCACCCATTAGGAACATGTTAATTCTTACCAACATTTATTGAAGGCTTATGTCAACATATGTCAACAACTACTATGATATGTAGGAACTTGTCAAAGGTGGCTACAAGAAACTATAAAGTAATTTACAAGACTGCAAAGGCTTGTAAACTGAGGCATTTCCTCGAGCATTTGATGCTCATAATAGAGTCGCACACAAGAAGAGAGGAAAAGAAGACAACATGATGATAAAAGAATAGAAAAATTAGTAGGAGGAGGTTGTAAATTAGTTTGCCCTAACTGTTTATAGGGTCAAATACAATACACATACAAATATACATAGGTTTTTGACGTTGTTGGGGTTATGGATAACCAATGACCCCATGCTGGCTCCACCATTTATTAAAATGTCACGAAGTCAAGTAATTCCAATTATGTTAGCAATCAATAACCGTCGACAAAATAAATAAATAAAATTAGTAAAAATGATTGTATCTAAATTGCAAAATAAATTTAAACAAGCCAAATCACCAAAAACAAAATTCATAAAATATAATTAGTACTTTTATTTTGAAATACGTACAAAACCTAAAAATGTTCACTAAGTGTTCAATGAAATGATTGCTCGATAACTAAAAATGGCCACATGCGTCGAAAACACTCAGCACCACTCGTATGTCTCGCTCGGCATCTCGATCGAATTTATAGCTAATTGACACTTTTGCTCAATTTAACCTATCAAATATAGTTTCATTGATCTCTTTATGGGGCTATTTGCCGCACCAGCTTGCACTTGACATCATATAGCCTTTGTTTTTATTTTTTGGCTAGTGGTTTTTGACACTCCTCTCTTAGCCTCATGTACTCCACATCTAAGTGCAAGATATTTTGTTGGATTTTCATTAAAACTCTCTTATATATTTAATTTGGAGTACAGTTGATAAATAAAAAAAAAAAAAGACAGTACCTAAATCGCTAGCTTGTTGTAATATACATGTGGATACCACATATTGAAATTAAGAAGAAGAAACAATTTGCCTGAGATAGTTTTCAAACCAAAGTAAATGTTATTACTATGCATGTATATGTTGGTGAAATGGTAGCTTATGTCTCCTACGATTTTCATCAGTTGAAGACTTTTTCTCCACATCAGTGAATGATATATGTTGTAACACTAGTAGAAAAAACTATTTGCGAGACAACGGGAAAATCGTCACGCAAAGACAATTTTGCGCGACGAAACAGGATATTGGTCGCGCCAGAAATGTCAACTTTGCACGATGCAAATCTAACCAAAGACGAAAATAGTATACTCGTCGTGCAAAGTTTGCAAGGAAAAATGCGGGTAAATTTTTTGGCAGAAAAAACATGAGCGACGAAGCCTTCGTCGCTCAAGCTACTGTCAGTTTTGCCTCCGACAATTCAGTGCATGTGAATCAGAGGAATAAATAATGTATTTAGTGTAGATGTTTGCGCGACAAAGCCTTCGTCGCGCAAAGACCCTAACCTTCCTATAAATATGCGCTTCTACTCTCCTTGTTCTTCACAATTTTGTTCGTGCTGTGACGAAGGATAAAAACCGCGATGAGAGCGTGCTCGCCAACCCTTATGATTTGAGGCAACATATGGAGTTTACACATGCGATTGGTGAAGCCATGCGTAATATTGTCCTACTATCAAGTGGCATTCTTGGAAATATGTGCTCGAAAATGTGAAGAAGGCGATGATGGATCAATTATTAGTACTTATACTATTGATGGATCAATAATTAATTTTTGTGACATTTTTTGTTATATGTTGGAATTAATTATTTCCATATATATGTAACAGTGTAAGTATACTTTTGATGATGATACAAACGAAGAGTTGATGAAGTTGATGGAGGAGGCGTTGAAGGGAGGTTAAAGGCGATGGCGTGATGACGTGGAACATAATTGATGACCATCGAAATAGAAGCCTTAAATTTATGTTTTTGAGGACAATATTTAAATTTAAGGTTTTTTTATAAGTTATGTATTTGGACTTAATTAGGCTTTAATTCCTGTTTGGGTTTTTAAATAATTGAATGGAATAATCAATTTATTTAAGGTTTAATTATTTGTAGAATAAATATTATAACAGAATATTTGTTTGTAATTATTTAATTATTTTGCGGAAAGTTTTTTTTATTCTAATGTTTGCGCGACGACGATATTTCATCGCACAAGATGACTTTGCGTGACAGAGTCTTTCATCGCGCAAGATGACTTAGCGCGACGACTACTGCTGTTCGTCGCACAAAGTTTTCTGAACATGTCAGACTGGTCAGTTAGGCATCAAACGCTCCCATTTATAGCGGGGAGTTATAACAAACTTGTGCGACCGAGGGTTCGTCGTGCAAAGTGTGTTGAGTTTCATATGAACACAGTTTCAGAAACCTATTTTGCAAAGGTTTTATAACAAACGATGGCCGATTCGGTTTCAGATTCAACTAAAGGTTGGGAGGGAGAAGGCTCTCATGAAGGGAAAGGTAAAAAAAAATATTGTTGAGTTAATTGTTTTACATTTGATATGGTTGAAATTATTGTTTTAATAGGTATTACATTTTAAATTTTTGTGGTAGGAAAAAAAATGAAGAAAGTTGTGGTGACATTAGAGAGGTACCGACATAAGTGTTTGTCGTCATTTGGTGACAAAAGTTCTGTTGTAGCGTACGTCGAACTTATTTTCAATATAGGGGGATTGGTGCGGGACAAGTGTCTTTAACTCTTGGAAAATGGTGCATGTGGACATGAAGAACTCCATGCTACAGAAGTTATCAGTAAGTTTATATTAAAGAAGGTGTAATTGTTTTTGTTTAAAAATAATATTTTTACGATATTTCATTTAATTTTATTGCCATTACAGGTTGTTTGGGATGTTGATGAAACTGATGAGAAGCAGCGGAAGTATGTGGACAACCTTTTCAAGAAGCAGTTCCGGCAGTAGAAGTTCGATGTACAACGGGTTGCAGAGCACGCACAAGTTGACAATGCCATTGTCGATGCCCCTGCTAATGACCCAGAGGAAGAGTGAACATAATTTGATTTTTTTTTCTTTATGAATAAGATTTATTTGAACGTTATGTTGGACTTATTTTTTAAATTTATGTTACATGCATGGAAGACTTAAAGTTTTCTTTAGTTATAAGATATATTTCAGTTAATAAATTAGTTTTAATAAATATTTTGGTAATATATAATTTGGTTTGATAATTTTAA